GGGTTGCTTCCATGACCCCTGCAGATGCCAGTCCCTCACATGAAATGAGGTAGAACAATGTGTAGTTGGCCCTCCACACCCTCAGATTCAACCAACTGGGAAAGAAAAGTGTGTTGGACCCAGCTTTGGGAACGGGAGGATGCAAACTGGATGAACAGGGCCGACTGTGTATTTATGGAAAACAGATCCTCGTGTAAGTGGACCCACATGTTTCAAAGCTGGTGTGGTACAAGGGCCAACTGTATTCAGTTTATGCCCCAGTTAAAGAATGAGTGAGAGTGCCAACATTTTTGTTCTAAAGTGAACCAAGTAAAATGCACTGGACACATGAAATTGCAATAATATTTAATTTTTTCTTTTTTGGGGGTGAAGCAAGTAAAACAGGGACATAATATGTAAAACAAGATTCCAAATCCCACTAGATTAAAATATCCACAAATAATTACTTCCTCTTTTATACACAAACAAATGTCACTGTCTAGTTGAAATTACATGTTCTCACTGATAAATGACGGGAACAGTGGCTACATACATAAAATTCTCAAGCCTACAAATAAAACCTGAATCATGATGTATTTTTTTAAAATAATTTCCACAGGATACAACATAATGGAATACTGCCCAAGTGCCTGCATATCAAATAACTAAGATATTTATTTGGAATTACTACTGCCACATAAACCCCAAACATGGGGGAGAGGGGCGCTGACTTGAGTTTTGTGTAACAGTACTAAGCAGTAAAAACATTTAAAATTTATAACATATTTCAGGTTACACCTGAAACACAGGAAACATCAACTGACCACTTGGAATTTTTCATGAAGACAAATCCAGCTTCACCCTTCAGGAAGAGGGCTGTCCATTTAAATGGCAACTTAGTCCCCAAAGTTAACAGCCGTGGTTATGCTGTAGGTATCCAACAAAAGGCATCACGTGGGAGACACTTCAAACTAATAGAATATTGTTAATTATACCTAAAAAACTTGGTTCACTGATTGGTTTGTGAAAGATAACCAACACCAGAGAGTGTATTGATAGGACGCCCTTCTTACACACAGTACTGGCAAAATGTAAATTTGCCCAACTTTTCTCAAAAGCAGTTTAGCAACATGTGTCTGAAGTCCTGAAATGTTATTTTGTCACTGGGAATCAATCTTAAGGAAACATTTAGATGCATGTAAAAATTATTTATGTGCAAAGATTTCATTATGGCATTATTTAGAATAGAGAGCAAAATACCGTACAATATGGAACTGTTTACATATATGATGGAGTATTATGCAAACATTCAAGTTATATTTTCAAAGACTATTTAATGATGGAGGGGAATGCCTGTATTATAGCATGTGAAAAATCAAAATACAAAACCATTTAAAATATTATAAATTTATATAGAGCTTAAGTAGAAATATTAAAATGTTACTTGTATCTTTTGGTGGTAGAAGGAGCAAAGATAAATACTTTTTTCCTTCATTACAATTTAATGTATTTACCAGTTTTTTTATGTTTCTCTATTTCATCTATAATGAATAAAATAGAATAAATTGGGAAAAGATCAGTTTTACCACTGTAAACCTATCTGATGCTTATGCTAATGCCACATGTAAAATCATAGAATATAGATTTTGAATTCTCTAAGACACACAGGCAGGCAAAGATGTATGAACTCAAGAGCTACTTCATATTCTTTTCTATTACCACAAAATTGCTAATTTGCCAGTCATGCCTGAGACTTTATATTGTTCGTGTGCAAATATTTCTCTTCAAATTACATGCCTTTGCGGTGGCTGTGGTTCACTTTGATTAAATTCAAGCTGCTCGGCGGAGTCCTTTGTGGACTGATCCAGGCTCTATGGAAATCCTGGTGCCCACTAAGAGTTCTGGTGAAGGTTCAGCAGCCTGAGTAATTTTTATCACAGTCAAGCCACATAAGGATCAATATTCCACTGTTGGGTACAGTCCTGTGTGGGGTAGGCATGCAGACGGGGGTTGTCAAGAAGATGTTTCACAGGAGAGTATCAGAGATTATAAAGTGCGGGTCATTACTTATAAGGGAAAGAAAAAGGAATCAAATAAAATAAATTTTAAGTAAAGATAAACCATATAAGGACATCATATAAAAAGAATCCTTTTTAAGGAGGGTTAACAGTCTTTGGCAGGTTAGCAGAAAAACAATAAGAAAACCAAATAAAACCAGTTATCATAGATTCCCCAGATATTTAGGGGCACCCCTTAGGTGTAAAACCCAGTACTAGGCAGGTGGAGCCTAAGGGAGATGCAAAGATAAATAAGAGAGAACCCCCACCCTCATTTCAAGGGTTGGAACCAAGAATAATGCCTTTTATTCACTTACTAAGCTACCACTTACTGAGCTCCTTCCTACTCTGTATCAGCTGCTACAAAAGCACTTTATATTTCGTATCTCAATTTCTCACGAAAATGCTGCTGGGTTGATATTATATAAAGAAATTGAGGCTAAGAAAAATGGAGAAACTTGTCTAGCATCAGAGAGCTGGAAGGTTGAAATTTGAACCTGGGTCTGCTTAGAGAATGCCAAATATTGATTATGATCAGCACTTCATAGAGAGTTCTGTTAGGATTAATCAGACCAGGTTAGCCTATGATTGCGACATCAATAGAAACCTTATTGGATAATTACTTTGTGCCAAGCAAGTAAAACCCTGTGGCAATTTACATGAGTCACCATATTTAGTCCTCAGAATTTAGATGTCTTCATTCTCTTTTTTTCTGATACTACTTCTACCCAATGGCCCATGTTAAAACAAACAAACAAACAAACAAACCCAAATTTCACTGAAGACTCCTGCCTCAGTCACAAGTACTTGATTTCTTTTTTTTTAAATTTTTTTTATTGATTATGCTGTTACAGTTGTTCTATTCCCCCTTTCATTCCCCTCCACCCTACCCCCCCATCCCCACCATTACCCCCCTTTCTGACCACGCCCCACATACAGCGTCACAACCCAGCGACCTGGGAGTCCAAGGTGCCGTTTAGACCAAAAATGGCGCAAGAAGATCTCAAAGCCCCAGAGCCTATAGATCTAAGCGATGAAGAAATAGCAAAACTCTCAAACGCACAGCTTAAAACAAGTACTTGATTTCTAAATGGCCTAAATCCCGCCACATTCGTAACTCTTTAGTTTATCTGTCCCTCTTCATCCTCACAGCCACTACCTTAGTTGGAACCACCATTATCTCCTATGTGCATTGCAGTAAGAGCTTTTAAACTCATCCCCTGCCTTTCCAATCTGCCTGCAGCATGCCTACAGAGGGAGCCTTCTAAAACACAGATCCAGATGTGTCTCTTCTGTGGTCCTCCTGCCAACATTAAGAAATAAATCTGAACCTAGAGCTTGGTGGTACCCACTCTGGACCCACTATGGGTTCTGGCCGTGCTGAAGTGCCCATTCTTCTCTGGACTCAACATGTCTGCACTGGTCTCATGCCTTTGAATGTGTTTCTGCCTGTTTTTTTTTTTTCTGAGCTTTACAAACCCAACCCACTCCCACTCTGCCTTTCAACCCTGTTCTTCTCCCTGTTGACTTCTACTGGAACTTCGGGGTGGGGCTTTGGCACCATTTCTAATTAGATTATTTTCCTGATATTCTTCCTTATTGTTCCAGCAATCTGGGTAAAATGCTAACTCTAGGTTCTTTCTTAGCACTCCAAGTTTAACCTTGAAAGACACCTCTTATGCTAATATCTCTCTCCACCAGATACTGAGGTCCTTGAGGGCAGAGTCCCTGTCTCCTCCCTCAGTCCTCAGCCTCTGCAGTGCCTGGCATGCAGTCAGTACTTAATTAACATTTCTGTGTTTGCTTGTTTCCATCTAGCCTATTCCACTAAGGATTTGAGGTAACTCATAGGAAAGATACGTAACAGTGAAGAAAACAAATATTAAAGCAAGAGCAAGGAAATTAGTGAAATAAATGGAAGTAGAATCAAGACCAGAAAAGAAAAATAGTTTAACAGTTGCTAGCAAACAGCTAAAAAATTGTCATGGAATATTTATTCAATATATTTCTTTTTTTTTTTTTAAGATTTTATTCATTTTTTGAGAGAGGGTGAGGGAGGGAGAAAGAGAGGGAGAGAAACATCAATGTGTGGTTGCATCTCACATGCCCCCTACTGGGGAGCTGGCCTGCAACTCAGGCATGCACTCTGACTGTGAAATGAACTGGCAACCCTTTGATACGCAGGCCAGCACTCGATCCACTGAGCCACACCAGCCAGGGCTATTTGATATATTTTTGATAATGCATAATGCTGAAATCATGGCATACTCCTTTTATGGCTTATCACAGTATTTACCAAAGTCGAAATAGCTGAGAATTATTAAAATCCATGGACATTGTTTTCTGAAAAGTTTCTGGGCTATGAATTTTGAGGCCATGTTTGTTTTTAGCACTTTATTGTATTTTCACACTCCAAGCTTTCCAATGATGGTGGGCATGCCATTGTAGATTATTATTCTGTACCCAACACCATACCACATAGAAATACCCATGACTTTTACTTTACTTTTTAAACTTAAATAAGAGCAAGGCTCCTGCTCATATGAAAACAATGGTACGTGACTATCTTCAAGGACATTTCCTATCTGAACTGGTAGAAGCCAATTATAAATCAGAAAACTAAAAATACTTAGGAAAATTACCACAGGTGATTTGTGTCTGGAGTCATGCCTTTATAGGAGTAACACTGGAAAATAGATCTTAGATAATTTTTTTAAATGTAGGGAACATTCACACTAATTTCTTTTTAAGGCAGTTTCACTATTAAACCATCTCCCTTGAAATCACAGAGGACTTTCAGTTGCATGGATAACTACATATCTGAAGGTATTTCCCACAAAATCATCTCAAGTTCCTTATTTTGAAGAGCACATGACTCTCTTGGAAATGTCCTGACTTTTACTACCCTGCTTAACTAATTCATGTAAAAATATTCAGTAAAAATATTCAGTGCCACATGCATACTTCTGAATTCTCAGGCCACCCTTCTTGGTGTGAAAATGGTAATCATGCAGAAAAAAGGCTGACAGTCGCTGCGATGAGATCTCTTCCAGTGCAATTCTAGCTCTCCTTGTCGCCTTCTAGTGACTTCCAAGTATGACAGCTGCCACTCGGACACCTGAAGGAGAAATGTCACCCATGCTTGATGAAAAGGGAAGCCTCAGTGCATAACCAGCTTTTGTTCTAATAACCACTTCAATTCCATTCCACTCATGGAGAAATAGGTACCAACTCTGAGCTATGTGAGCCATCAATGAGGAAGCACATCTTCCATAGTGACCTGTTCAACCAAGGAACAGTTTTTGTTCTACCCACCCTTCAGTTCCACACTGATGAAATGTACTTCCCACCAAGAGCCATCTGATGTTTCCACAAGCCTCATGGCCTCTTTATAGGCTTGTGACCAGCTATCGTTACTCTACTCGAAAAGCTGCTTTGATTTATAGGTTTGAGGGGGGATAGTGTGAGCCTTACATTCTTAGGGCATAGTAGGACAACGTGAAGAACTCTGCTTTCCAGGCACCCACAGGTTTCACCTGAATACATTTCAATTCAGTGTGGCAGATGTTTGCTGGGGATCTACTGTGTTTACAGGACAACACCATGGGAAACAAAGATGGAAAAGAAAGTCTTGCCACAGGAAGCAGAAAAGCCCCCAACACACTGCTCGGCATGTGGTGAGTGTTTGGTGCAAGATTGATGCTTTTTATATGTTAGTGGGACACCTATTATATAAAACAGTGCAGGAAATGTTAGAAAAGAGGTAAAGCAAGTGCTTGGAAGAACTGCATCAGGACAAGATTCACCGATACTGGAGGGACTGGGAAGGCTTTCTGGAAAAGATGGTGTTCTGGTGAAGCCACCAAATATTCAGAGGATTTTTGCAAGAAGGCATTCTGGTGGCATGAACAATGAAGGGCGTGTTTCAGAATTTGCAGTCTGTGGAGGCTCATACACAGACTGCACTGTCCATCTACAGCAGAAAATATGGACGCATGGGCGGACCCCAGAGGATGAGCTCGGAATCAGGATGATAGCAGTTAAATGCATATAGCATAAGTCCAGGCCGAATGCTGGAGACAGAAGGCCATGAAATGAGGTAGGAAAGTAAAGCGTTTTCATTGTTATTCAGGGATTTAAAGACCACATTTCAGGGCAATGGAGGACCGAGACATGCTCTCTCTTTTTGTCTCCCCAAACTTACGAAAGTATTACAATGATAGCTCTGGAAAGTACTTTTCATAATCAAAGTTTGAAAATAAAATGAAAGGTCTTAAAAGTCAACTAAAATCTGCTTGACTGTAATACTTATTGACCTCTTAAACATGTTACTTATTGATGGGAAAATTAAGTTGAAATAGTTACAATGAAGAAAATTCCCAGTAATTGAACTCTGAACTCTCAAGCTCACAGTGATGACTGCTGTTACAACATCCTGTGAATGTGTCTTCATAAAATGCCAGCCCCACTGAGGCCCTCGGTTCCTACATTGCTGGTTTCATTACCTTCAAGAGATTATAGAACTTAAAAGTATCATCTACACTAAGAATGCTGCATGTTTCTCTGATGGGCTTCAGGCATTCTACAGACTTTAATTAAATCTCCTAATGTCCCTGTGAAGTAAGCAAGGGATCAGCAGAAGATGAGTCACCAAAAAGTATCCGAGTAGAAGATGGGCTGCAGGACACAGGACGAAACCCACTTTCAGTGTTATTGGTCTCGTTTCACCAATGAGGACATGGTGTCATTACTCAGACAAGGATGGTGGGCTGTCTTCCATTTCCACTGAAGGCAGAATACACTGCTATCAGCTATGTAAGCATCCCTTTGGAGACTGTAAAAAAAATGGTATAAAATCTGTAGGTTTCTCTGTGGACGGAGAGTCAACCAACACTTATTTCCTTTAATCCTCACCCAACGATATGTTTTGAGAGAGAAAGGAAGGGAGAGAGAAACACTGATGTGAGAGAGAAGCAATCCCATATGGGCCCCTGACCAAGGATTGAACCCACAATCTAGGTGTGTGCCCTGATCAGGGATCAAACCCACAACCTTTCGGTGTATATGGGACAATGCTCCAACCAACTGAGCCAACTGGCCAGGGCCCTACCAATGCTTATTAATTAGCACCCAAAATATACAACCGAGAAAATAGACATCACCCTTTTCTTGGGAAAGAACACAGGACAAGAATCTCAGTTTGTGTGATGCATAATCTCTTATTTTGATTGGTTCCTCAGGTCCCAGCTGACCTCTCCACGGCTTCCTTCCCTATATCCCCATGCTCCTGTCTGCTCAAGGCTATGAGTGGGCACTGGTCTGAGGAGGTCATCTTGGGGGTGCAGTTGGTTATGTTGAAGACACAATGCAAATTGCAGGGTGAAACAAAATCCAAAAAAGTAGAAAACTGAACCTGTCTGGACCCTTGGTTTTACCCTGAGGATAGTGATATAGACTCTAAAGTCAGCCTATGAAAAACAAACATACATGCAGTTATCATACATGATCTAGTTGGTAAACCAACTGCACCTCTGATACAGGAAGTGAAAGGGCCCAAACCACTTCACAGGACTGTGACACCACTCTCTCAATCCAAACGCCTCCTCGCAGGGTGGAGAATGCATTCATGGCTCCCAGGGAAACAGAGATCCCGGTATGAAAACATCAGAGAAAAAGAAATGCTGTTATTTTAAGTAATAATTTTGTATCACTTAAGTCTAAAAAACAAATTAATATACAAATAATGAAATCCTATGGCAATATTTGATTGTCAGGTGGTCGCAGAGATGCGAAATATGCTTAAAATTATTTAGATCATCATAAAAATGAAAACACAAAATGAAAATTGCGCTGATATTTTGTGGATCCTCAGGTTTGAGAAAATTTGTTTTAAGGTCACCTTTACTACTGGGTCTCCAAAAGAAGGCAAGATAACAAGTTTTGACTAGTCCTTAGAGAAAGAATGGGGTACCTGACACAGAACCTCTTCTTAGGAAAGCTACGAAGTGATGTACTAAAAATAAAGCAGCAAACAGCTACTCCTAAAAACAGATTTACTACAGTGGGATCAAGGGCAAATTTGTAATAACTACTTGTGGCATAGAGTAATCATCACTCTTTCCCTGTCTGAGGCGGCCAAAAAAAATAAAAAAATAAGAATGCTCTAATGGAATTCTAAATTCTCTAGATTAAAAAGCCTTATAAAATTGGGAAAATTCCCTATGACCAAATACATTTTTAACTAATACTTTGTCACACATATGCATTTAAATATAAAGGGGGTTTGATTGCTTATATGTTTCCCCATGAAAAGTAAGGTGCCCTAGAAGATTTAGAAAGATTTGCCTGGCACTACACTTTAATTTGCTATCTTAATCATTGCTATGCCCTGCTTTTTAAGAATTCACAGAAAGTACATATTTTAAATATTATTCAACATAACTACTGATCTGTATACTTGTATAATTATGCAAAAGTTTCTTTTCATTGTAGTTCTAACTGTATTTTAACAATATTGCAGGTACACAAAAGGACTATAATATGGGTATTTTAATCATTACTTAAGGTATGTTCGTTGATGTTAGGGAAGCAGGAAGTGAGACAGAGAGACAGAGAAAGACAGAGAAATCAATGTGAGAGAGAAACATCAGCCAGTTGCCCTTAGTATGTGCCCTGACTGGGGGATTGAACCCACAACCTTTTGGTGTACAGGACAGTGTTCCAACCAGCTGAGCCACCCAGCCAGGGGAGAACTATAATTTTAATCTCTTCTTTGGATTAGATTTACATCTGCAACTTTACTAATTTCAATAAATTCCCTATATAAAAAAGGGCATTTTTAAATCAAATTACAAATCTGCTAGAACACATCAAAATATAGATGCATCTACATAAGATATGATTTTGAACTTAAATGAATGGTTTTAAAGTAGGTGAAATAAATGTATTATTAAGTACTAACACGATCAATAATATATCATTAAAGTATGTAAGTTTCAATATATGTTAAGCGCTATTTGATCTCAGGATTTTTGAGCTGAAAGGGACTATGGAGATAGATCATATAATTCCATAACTTCATTTTTAGATGTAAATGGCCCCTGATCCTGTGAGGGCCAGAAAGTCCAGAATACAACCCAGCCTCCCAACTTGTCAGGCAAGTTGAGATAGTTAATGTAAAATAATGGAGATATTTACTGCAAACATCACATAAGCTATCCTGCTGTCAATCAATGTGGAGCTACCAGTCAGAGGTGGCACCACTCACTGGCTGGAGAAAGAAGCTACGATTCTGTACGTCCAAAAGAGCTTATGCCAGCTCCACTGTTGACTGGGCAAACAAAGCAAGCTACTTAATTGCACTGTGCTTTCCTTTTCCTAATTACAAAAATAAGGACTCGAGTAATTGAGACTTCTCTACTTAAATTGGCTGTTTCAAGAAGAGGATAAAAATAACTCTGAAGCACACAGCATATCTAAGTAAGAACTAAATACTTAATAACAAAAAGCTGATCTTCACCATATTTAGAACAAGGAGTAATAACCACTCCGACTCATAATTAGGAGGGAGTATATGTTAGCCACTGTGTGTCCTTATATCATCGGAATGAGCGAACACAGAAGTGTATCTAATAAGCTTAGGGACTTAAATTTTCCTAGTTTTTCATAACCTGTGTTTATGTCCACCTAAGCCATCAGCTGAGGACAAACAGGAACTCTATGACTTCACAGATCTGCTATTCATTCCTAAACAGAGAGAAGTGTTAATGAACTACCTGTGGTGTTGCCAACGGATTCTGGAAAATATAATATGGAGCCATCTTAAAACTGATATATGCAGGGCATAAACCCTGTCAAATGTTATTTGCTAGTAGGAAAATATAGTGTCCTGAGTGATATGAAAAAATCTCCCAGTTTGAGCTGACCTTTAAAAAACAAACAAAAACATATCAACTGGATTCTCTTGAATAAGAGATAGACATTGCAATGGGGAGAGATGGGAGGAATTAATAAGTAAGCTTTTAAAATACTGTATAATACAAATCTTAGAAGAAAAAATAATACATACCACACATAGTGAAGCGTCTGAAAAAATATCCATATATGCTTGCTCATTCAGGTCATCTCTAGGTGATAAAATTTTTTTAAAGTTTTTTTCCTGCTTTGTGCTTACGTTTTGTGTGATTTGGACATGAATTAATTTTGCTATATTTTTGAAAAGGTTACTCTTATTTATTTGCTTTAGGGTTGTGGGAGGTAAGATACAATTATGCCCGCACTGAAAATGAAACAAGGAGACTGAAATGTTAAGTGGCGGTAGTGCTAGAGATGAGAGTTGGGTCCAAGGGTCTGTGTCCTGCTCCTGGCTTTGGTTACACAGAGGGCTAGCAGAGAGGGGCAAAGCCTGGGGAGGCCACCATGACTGAGCTTTCACACCCAGTACTAATGGGCACAGTGGTAAATGGTCTCTATCCATTCTTGAGCTTACAACTGGCATGAATTCTTTCCCCACAGTTTTTGTTTCTGTACTGTGTGTCTCCATCTTAAATTTAACCAAGTATTGCTTTCAGTGTTTAATTACAATTTAATGGTAACACTACTTGCATTCCAATTAGCTTTTAGTTTTCACATCATGAAAGTGCATCCAAGTTATTGTGTCATTATAATCTCGTGTTATAATGGTTTCATAATGCAAGTCCCTGCAGGGTTGAATTAGTAGTTTCCTATGGTAATCGCCCATCACTATAATATCATAATCACATAGTACAGTCCCCACATGCTTCCATTGCAATCATTTTGACATTGTAAGAGCATTTTAATAGTATTAGCATAGATTCTCCAGAGAAATCATCTCATTGTCACTGCATTATCGTATAAGATTAATTGTGATGGAGCCGTGTTGTTATGATATGAAAGCTTAAAAGAAAAGTGGTACTCGGCAATAAAGCATTTCACTTCTAAAAAGCAGATTCACCATGCAACCCCTAATTGAAGAGATGTCCTTTCACATGATGTTAGGTTTTTTTGTTTGGGTTGGTTTTCCTTTGTTGGTTTAGGACTTGCAACGTGGATAAATTAGGTCAGGCCCAGTGCGGTGCTGAAACAAAAAGCAGACTTGGCCCCGTCTGCAGGGAGTTTACAATTTAATCAAGATTGCAGTAAACGATATACATCATATACATAAACACAATTAAGGCTCTTAGGGTATGCCCTGGTCTAGTAGCTCAGTTGGCCAGAGTGTCATCCTGATAAACCAAGGTCGTGGGTGTGATCCCTGGTCAGCGGATGCATAAATGGGTGAAGAGCAAATCAATGTTTCTCTCTTTGTCTCTCTCTCCCTCCCCATTCCTATCTCTCTCTAACAATCAATTAAAAAACAGACTCAGGGAAAAAAAAAGTCCTATGAAGGAATATTTCATGGATGTATGAGTAACCAAGTAAGCTTTTCCTGAAGACAGAATGTTTGATGAACAACTAAAGCGTTAAACATGTTAAACATAAAGACTGAGGAGCAGAAATGGAGTGTGTGTTACCAGGGTTCATTCACTGACTCTGGGAAGAAGGAGGGCCACCAAACACTCTGGTAGTGGACACTGCCCCAGCCCACCCTGAGGAGAAAGCAAGACGATAGGCTATGGCAGGACACCTCTCTGCACGGTCTCCGCTGCTTCAGTGCAGAGTGGGAGCTGTACCTGGCTCCTCATTGCTCAAAGCATGAGCTGGGGTGTTCTCTGGAAGCATCCGATTGAGGGCTGGGAACAAGGAAACTCCAGCTCAGAAAAGCACTGCCTGGACCTTAAAACCCTCTCTGGTTCGTCACCATGGCGTAAAATG